TATATATATATATATATATACATATTTTAGTAGAATATTTAGAATATTCTACCTATCTGGAAAATTTTGTAGAATATTATAAACATTCTCAAAATTATATTAGAATATGTACAGTGTAATATTCTATTAGAATATTTCACATATTTTTCAAAAAAAAAAAAAAAAAAACTGTAATTTTTTTTATTATTTTTTATTTTTTTAGTTAAATAAAGTTCCGAAAATAATAATTAAATTTTTTTTTTTTGGATTTTTTTCCTTTTATTTTGCATTTTAAAATTATTTTTAGATTTTTTTCCACGCTCTCACAAAATTAGGATTGTCTCAAATCAATGTGTATATATATATATATATATATATATATATATATATATATATATATATATATATATATATATATATAGGTAAAGGTTCAAATGAGAACAAAAAAATGTTAAAAACTGTAAGAACCTTTAAATTTAGACGTTTATAAAGGATTTAGGGTTTAGGTAGGGGTGTCGAACGGGTAAAATTTTTGGGTTTCGGGTAGAATTAATCGGGTAGAACGGGTATTTCTTTAAGAAAATAATACCAGATACCCGACCTATATTGTAATTCGGGTTTTCGGGTTTCGAGTATTCGGGTTTGAGGTTGGGTCGGGTAATTATCGAGTATACCCGAAAATTTCTTAAATGACACTTAATGATATATTTTTTTATTTTGACATGTTAATTGGTTTAATAAAGAATTGGGTAGACTCCATACAATTAACAAATACATATATAATAACAATATATAATAACAATATAAATCATTATAATTTGTTATCTACTTTTTAATTCCATTCCAAATTTTGATAAAAAAAAAAAAACCATGAATATGATTAGCATGGAATAATAGGTCTAAACATAACAAAAAAAGTCTAAATAATTAAAGTCTTTTGTATTGCTTGTTAGCAAATTTTAGAGTTCCTTTAGATATGTAATACACTTTCCATTTGAAACACTTCAAAGAACTTTCTTACAGCCTCACCAAACATGGTTGCTTGGATTTGAGTACCCTGATAAACGAAAAAATGTCATAAGTTATTTAGAACTTGAGAATATTAACTTACATCTTCATCACGTAACTCCAAACTTTATGAATAACATCTATTATTGATAAAAGCCTATGCCCTTTAAGCTATATTGACACAAAACTTCACTAAGCCAATTAACAAAACACCTGATGTACATTATATGAAGCATTATATCTAAAAAGAAAATACATAGAAATTTCCATAGAACCTGGTATCGTTTACAAACCTATATTTAAATTAAAATAAAAATTAGAATCAATCCAATCTAATTTTACCTGATGCACACCAAGAACAAATTGAAGAAGATGAAATTAAAAACTACTCAAATTCTCATGTGATTAACCAAAAAAATACGAAAGAGAGCATGATAAAAACACATAACCTCCATTCTAACTAGGATTGATGTATACACATAATCAGTAGAGCTCTAAAATTGATCTAATGATTCACACCACTCGAGAAATCATTAGAAATCACTAAACCAGAACATGTTGTATAAGGGTTAATCGATGGTGAATCAGCAAAAAATCAAGAAACGATAAAACCTCGAGAATGACACAATAGTTCTCAAACTGTTTTTAGGAAGTATTCTAGTAGCAACCATGAAAATCACGAACCTCTACATCGATGGTGAATCAACAAAAATAAAGAATCGATGGAACCTTAGTGTTTTTAAGAAGGATTCAATACTTCTTATGTTTTAAGAATGAAGTATTCGAGTATCAATTTCAAACGAAGTCAATAGCCAAACAACATAGTTTTAAGTATCGGGTATATATATATATATATATATATATATATATATATATATATATATATATATATATATATATATATATATATATATATATATATATATATATATATATATATATATATATATATATATAAGGTTAGGTTCATGTGAGACGGTCTAATTTTGTGAGACCGTGAGATGCAATCCTAGCCACTCATTTATTATATAAAACAAAAACATTTTTAAAATGCAAAATAATTGAAAATTTTTGATTTTTTTTCCAATATTATTTTCGAAATATATATTTTCCAAAAAAATAAAAAATACCAAAAAAAAATAAATACAAATATATATATATATATATATATATATATATATATATATATATATATATATATATATATATATATATATATATATATATATTTACATATTTTAGTAGAATATTTAGAATATTGTACCTATCTGGAAAATTTAGTAGAATATTATAAACATTCTCAAAATTATATTAGAATATGTACAGTGTAATATTCTATCAGAATATTTCACATATTTAAAAAAAAAAAAAAAAAAAAAAAAAAAAAAAAAAAAAAAAAAACTGTAATTTTTTTATTATTTTTAATTTTTTTAGTTAAATAAAGTTCCGAAAATAATAATTAAATTTTTTTTTTGGATTTTTTCCTTTTATTTTGCATTTTAAAATTATTTTTAGATTTTTTTCACGCTCTCACAAAATTAGGATTGTCTCAAATCAACGTATATATATATATAGGTAAAGGTTCAAATGAGAACGAAAAAAGGTTAAAAATGGTAAGAACCTTTAAATTTAGACGTTTATAAAGGGTTTAGGGTTTAGGTAGGGGTGTCGAACGGGTAAAATTTTCGGGTTTCGGGTAGAACGGGTATTTCTTTAAGAAAATAATACCAGATACCCGACCTATATTGTAATTCGGGTTTTCGGGTTTCGAGTATTCGGGTTTGAGGTTGGGTCGGGTAATTATCGAGTATACCCGAAAATTTCTTAAATGACACTTAATGATATATTTTTTTATTTTTACATGTTGATTGGTTTAATAAAGAATTGGATAGACTCCATACAATTAACAAATACATATATAATAACAATATAAATCATTATAATTTGTTATCTACTTTTTAATTCCATTCCAAATTTTGATAAAAAAAAACCATAAATATGATTAGCATGGAATAATAGGTCTAAACATAACAAAAAAAGTCTAAATAATTAAATTCTAAACACAACAAAAAAAAGTCTAAACACAATCCAACTAAACAATAAAAGTCTAAAAAAGGAAACTGAAGCGTGATCGGATGGAGGAGTCGATGAGGGTTATGGGTAAACTGAGAAACTGAGAATTGCGATGTCGTGCGATAGTGAGAAACTGAGAATTGTGATGATGGTTCAGGACTTCAGCTTCATCTTCGTATTCCCTTTTCGAGTTTGCATTGGCTGTCGAGCCGTCGTTCATAAGAAGGAAACGAAGGGTTTTGTTTTATTTGAAGTGCGCGTACGTAGTACATTGTATAGTTGGTATTATTTAAAAAACGAATTCGGGTATTCGGGTATACGCGAAAATAAATATTGATACCTAAAACCCGACCTATATTATTATCGGGTTAACCTGTTATCCGAATGTTCATACCCGTTACCCGTTCTACCCGATCAATTCTACCCGAATTCGGAACGGGTCAAGTGGATAGAACGGGTTTTGGGTTTTTTTGACAGGCCTAGCTTCAAGGTGTTTATAAAGGGTTTAGGGTTTAGGGTGCTTATAAAGGGTTTAAGGTTTAGGGGTTAGTGTTTATGGTTTAGGGTTTAGGGAAATCCTAAATCCTTTATAAACATCTAAAGTTAGAGGTTCTTATGGTTCTTAACCTTTTTTTGTTCTCATTTGAACCACACCGTATATATATATATATATATATATATATATATATATATATATATATATATATATATATATATATATATATATATATATATATATATATATATATTGAGATAATAAAAGTCGGAGTCACCAACATTTCTAAAAAAAACCCTGCAAGCTTGTGCTTATAAAAAAACCCACCTTCCGTCCTTTGTCAATTTCAGTACCGATTCACAAAATAAATAAATAAATAAAAACTGAATGCTTTTTTTTTTGCGATCCAGCCGAATTGATTCAAGAAATCGTTTACAACCCTGTAATATCGAATCAATCGCAGTCACAGTGGGCTACTAGAAATTTAATAAACTAAACCTAATATTTAAATATGCATGTGGCAACGTGGCATAAAAGTAATCATAATGATAAAATGTATTGGCGATATGTTCGTTTGGGAAGCAAAATGGGGCCTTACTAAACAAATATGATTAATAATTATGTAATCCAACAAAATCAATCTAGAAATATCAATGATTAAAAAAATAAATAAATAAAATAAAAAGTTTTTTAGTTGAACCGGTATATTGATTAGTTACTGGTTTAATCGATTTGATCGCCCGATTGTTTCCATCAGTTTTTTTTCCTTTTTCCTTCATATACATACGCACGTAAATTAAGAAGTTAACGTTCATAAGTTCAAACATTGAAAATACATTTAAAAAAGTTGTGGATTAAAGCAAATACATTAACATAACAAATAACTATACGCTTTACATTAATCCACATACATCAAAAAGTAAATAAAGTGCTTCCCGAAACAAACTATAACTTTAGATGAATATAAATGGCATCAAAAAACTTGAGAACATTTACTATGCTTTTACTTAAATAAATTTAAATATACGTGAAAAAGAGCACTAAAGTTTATGATGCAAAATAGTTATTTTTCATATGTTTTTTATTTTATTTAACCGGTTTAATCATTTTAACTGAATTTTTGTAAAATCCAGTTGGTTCGTTCCGGTTTGTAAAAACGAATATAGTTAAATCACTCTCTTTTGCAGTTTCAGGTCCAAACAATTCAAACCGTTTTTTAAAAGATTAAGAATTATATTAGATCCTGATGGTCAAAGATATCTGATTTAAGGTGTTTCTCTTGGATTATTTAGATAGGAAATGAGGATATCAAACAACTAAGTACTTAACTCTAAATAATCAAACAAACATTCAAAGAAAGAACCCTAAAGAAAACGCCTTCACAAATAAATGTAAAAACAGTTTAAGAAAATAGTTTCAAGCAGTTAACTAATTAAATAAATAACTAACATGGCCTACTAACAAAATCATCCACCGTCGTAGCATCATCGCCACTACCTGTTCTACATCGCTTTAAACCACCTTCTTCTGACAACGACAGCGGCGGAGACACAGCCTCCATGATACTCCTCCGCCTTGCAGTCACCCTCACCGGCTCCGCCATGTTGGTGCCTATCAGATGCGGGAAATTAAGCAAAGCCCGAGACCCACGTATCTTATACGCTGCTTGATCATAAGCAAAAGCTGCATCCTCCGGCGACTCATACGTTCCCAGCCATATCCGAGCACCCCGCTTTGCCGGATCTCTGATCTCAGCTGCAAACTTCCCCCATGGCCGCCGCCTGACGCCGCGAAACTTCCTCCACTCCGACGGCGCGTGGGTCCCATCTGCAACCACAGGTTCTTCCTTTCCAATCTTCTCTGAAGTACAAGTTGCTGGAAAAAGCTCAGAGATTTTTGATTGGGGAAGGTGGCTTTGATTTGAATCAAGAAAAGAAAGATTAGTATCCGACATAACTAATTCTTGGTGCAACTTTTTGTGGGGTTTTGAAATCGATCTGAAGAGATATGGGGTTATGAGAAAATATATATGATGTGGAAGAGATGTACATGCCGTTCAAAAAAAAAATGCATTGTAATATGAGAGGTTATTTAATAAATGTGTGCTTCAAAAAATATTGTTTTTTTTAACTTATTGATTTGATGAGTTTGGGGATTAACTAGATAACATATGTATCTTTTAAGAGAAAATTCCATGGATAGTCCCTGCGTTTATGGGTTATTTATACGTCCGGTCTCTAGAAATTTCATTTTAACTCGGATCATCCTTGAAATTTTAATTTGTTACCCATCCAATCCCTCTCATAACTTGTTAGTTGTTTAGCGGTTTGAAACTCCCACATCGAGGGCATTTTTTCCTTTCACCTTTGGAGAGGCTTAAATGTAATTTTCTTAAAATACATCCCAATAAATGCGAAAGTAGTAGAGCACATTATCATGAATGTCAATATTTTTTTAATTGCAAAAGTCAATAATGTATAATTCTCACACCATTTTTGACCAGGTGAATTCGTTTGATCATAATTTTGCTTTAAGAAATTGATGTGAAAACCAAGAAGCAATAAACTGAAACTTGGATAAAATGAAAATAAGATATCAATGATGGTCAATAAATTGGTTTGGCCTTATTTTTCAAATTTTGACCAATCGAAACATTGTATATGCTTCTCGATATTGCTTCAATGAAAACTCATACATTGAAAACATCATTTTCATATCATCATCAAACCCATTTTGTAACATCCGCTTTTCAACTATGCTTCTTTTGAGTTAAAATCTTTTAAATCTATATTTTTATGGTTTTGGCTTGGCCACGACGGTGTGATGAAGGAAGAACACCATGACATCTTCAGTTGAGGAACACGCATTAACGAGGCACCACGATGTGGCAAGGTCTTGGCCATGATGTGGTGGCAACTGGGTTCAAAACCCTAGATTTTAGGCTTGGTGTCCTATTTAAAAGGCATTAACTATAACATCCTAAAAACCCATAACCAAAAAGTTTGTTTTTATATTAAATAAACTTTCACAAAACATGCTCTTCAAACCAATAAGAAAGTCATAGAGTATCAATAATCATCCAAAATAAATCAAAGTCAACAAAGCGGAAAAATCATGGTGTATGTGCGATGCGATTATCCCGAACTCTTCCCCTTCAAACCGAGAGTACCTAAAACATAAACTGAAAACCATAAACAAAAAGCTTAGTGAGTTCCCCAAAATACCACATACCATACATAAAATAGGCCCTGCCTACCATCGGGTCCCACCCGGTATACATATGAACACATATAATACATGTAAGAGTCATAAAAACATCTAGCATACTATAACATAATCAAATGGGCCAACATTGGTGCCTTCGACCTGCAAGTAATATGAGAAGACTCATCTCGTTAAAAAAAAATAGATCATCTCACACCCGAGTCTGCTATACAAATGACTCGTCACACTAAACACATGTAATGCCCCGACTCTCAGGTATGGATTTAAGTAAGAATCTCTTTGGTTTTAAGTCCTACTCGACAAGTTAAGGGTGCCTTACTCGTCGAGTACCAGTGAGGTGGGATCGCACATTTAGTGACCTACTCGCCGAGTCCATAAAGGGACTCGACGAGTAGGAGCTGGAAAATGAAACCCTAAATCTCGGGGTTCTACACTCTATTTAAGGAGGCATAAGCCTCATTTGGCCTCCTTGCAGTCCTTGGGAGCTCATAGAAACCCTAACTCGTGTGTTGTGTCATTCTTGTGCATTGTAAGCTTGGAAGGAAGGCTTTGTGGGAGGAAGAACTTGGAGAAACAAGAGGATAGGAGCAAGGAAGGACTGGAAATTCGAGATCTACCTCAGTTAGCATCCATTGAAGGTATCAAGTCGACATCTTTATTTCTTTTCCTTCTAAACCTCATATGGTGGAGATCTAAGGTTTTTATGGTTTGAATAAGGTGATATTGCAAGACATGAGCTAGATCTGAAGATGTAACTTCAGATCTGGACCCTTCCCAAGTTCTAGAATCATAAAGTTCCTGTCTTGGTCGTGGATGGGGCCCCCCCTTATGTACGAAACCCCATTAAGAGCTTAGATTTGGCATTAAGAACCTTTTATCCATGCATGCACGTAAAGTTTGCAACTTTACGTGAAAGGCATGCCCTGGAAGCTTGGATCTGTAATTTTGTGTCATTGCATGGCTTAAATGAGTCTGTATGGCTTAAGGACTGAAGGAAATTGGCGAGTCGCAATGTCAACTCAGCAAGTCGTACGAAGATATCCGCAAACTCGACGAGTTGGATGAACAACTCGACGAGTCCGATGAAGATTGCCATAAACTCGATGAGTTGTATGAACAACTTGGTGAGTCGGATGAGTTTTCCCCAAGTTAGAAATGCATGTGTATTGATGTGTTGCTAGAAGGAAACTCGACGGGTGGCCTTAGGGTCTCAATCGAGAATCGTAAGAACTCGACGAGTCACCCCGGTGACTTGGTGAGTGGGTAAGGACTTCAAGGAACTCGGCGAGTAGCCGAGGGTACTCGACGAGTTATGGTCAACATGGACTGTTGACCTTGACTAAGGACTTTAACTTTAACCGGGGTTAACTATTTGGGTTATGGAGTACTCTATGAGGATGAAGACTTGTGAGCATGTTTGTACTATGGAAATAGGCGGTGGAGTCCTTGGCGAGTGATCGGAGAGTTGTGATTTATCTATCGAGCTGACATCTACGAGGTGAGTTATCCTCACTATACTAAGGGGTCTAAGGCACCAAGGCCAACCCATTTAATGTGTTACCTTGAACTGTGATACATGCTGAGTATGATTTAGTGTCGCATGTTAGTGGTTATGTCTGTTAGGTATGTCTGTAGGACTACCTGTGATATTATGTGATTATTGCATGCTCAATTCTTATGATTTATGTGTTTGTTATATGGGATGGGTTGAGGTTGTACTACTTTGTGTGGTAGCCAACAAATCCTAGGAGCATTCCAGTTATAGGATAAGGGAGACTCGTATTGTGGGCTCAGGAGCATTCCAGTTACGGGCTAAGGGAGACTCGTACTGTGGGCTTGTGGGTATTACAGTCTGTAGGGATGTGGACCCGTTATGTGTTGTTCTGTTCAGTTGTGATGATATGTTATCGTGACATGGTTATCTGGATTGTACGTGTATCGGTATTTTGTGGGTAACTTACTAAGATTTCGGGCTTACAGTTTCAGTTTATTGTTTCAGGTACATAAGGGGATCGTGACAAGGCAAAGGCATGATCGTACAGCTCCTCCTGTTATGTTTATGTTTCTGGGAAAAAAAAACTCTGATAATTAATATTTTGAAAACAAAGTTGTAATGTTTTGATGAACTTGACATGTTTTAAAAAGTTTAAATTGGTTTGGAATTTTGGATGTTACAAGTTGGTATCAGAGCCTTAGTTTGAGTGAATTGGAGAAACATTCGTGTGACTCCAGTCTCAAATCAAGGAAATATTTTCAAAATGGTTTCCAAAATAAGTAAAGGAGGATTCAAGGTGTACGATCAGCCGAAGCCAGTAAGTAGACCCCAAAATACCATACAGTTCTTTGATTATGTGATATGATAGAACAACATGCTATTACTAGGATAGGGATCTTCAGGAATTGCATGGTAGAATTGCCTGATACATGATGCTTGCTAGTCTAGGGTTTCCCTTATATGAAATTGACATCATTACTGTAGTTATCTAGTGTAGGCATCACGGTTATACATAATTAAGATCTTATAGCCTGAGAATGTTTGATTTTTCCTTATGTTTTGTTCTTGTTTGATTGGGAGCTTAGAGTAGGATTAAATATTCGAAAGTCTATAGGGTCCAGCGTTATGTATGACTAGCATACATGAGTGCTGCAAGGTTGGTGGAAGTTTCGTGGGTGAATAGGTTGTATGGGACGAATCCGCCGACTTCGAGGCATTATCCTTCCTTTAGGAGTGGGGCATGAGTGCCCGATATGATCATGTGTATTGTTAGGGTGTTGTGATGATACTTGGGACAAATATGGGTAGGTGTGAAAGGTAGTATGGGCCCATACTACTGAAAGCAAAGGACCCATACGCGTAACAAGGAAGTCTCAACCCCTAGGATTTTGTCAGGAGTTGGTTTCCAGTTATTTGTATGAGTTATCTGATACCTTGTGTTAGGTTTCAGAATGGTGACGACCAGGCACTTTGTGAATGGATCCGGTTCGGGATCAGGGTCAGGATCCGGAGAGGGCGGACAGGGGGAGCTAACAGCGCCCGAGACTATCGGCTATCGGCCAAATAAGGCCAGATGAGATGGATGACAGGATCCGAGAGATCCTGCACGATGAGGTTTCTGCGTTGTTCTGGGCCAAATTTTCGTAAATGTTCGGGTCGATTAAGACCGCCATGATGGAGTATTTCAATGAGCGCTACGCAGCCCTTGCAGAGACAATCGTCGCAGCAGCTGCATCAGCTGTATCTACAGCGGGAGGAGGAGTTGGTAGGGGTTTTCAGTACAGGGACTTCGATAACACGAAGCCCCCTACTTTTGATGGGACGAAGGATCCCATCAAGGCTATGAGATGGATTTCAGATGTAGAGGGGTGTTTCTTCACCTGCTCATGTCCTACTGACCAAAAGGTCAGGTGTGCTCTGAACCTGCTTAGGTTTGGGGCCAAGGACTGGTGGAGACTTGCGACTGGGGCATACACTGACGATCAGAGAGTTGTTGTTACTTGGGAGCAGTTCAGGGATATGTTCTGCGACCGTTACATTCCGCGGGTTGAGCGAAACGTTTGGCACAGGAGTTTTTGAGTTTGAGACAGGATGGGGAGTCGGTGACGGAGATCACCCGTATGTTCACTGAGCGGGTGATGTTCTGCCCAGAGTTTGCTTCCGAGCAGTCTCAGATGACCCACTATCTGAGTATGCTCAAGATTGATATCCGACAGTTTGTATCTACCCAGCGA